ATGGATAAGAGCACAGGAATGTATCTATACTTGCTGGATTCCTCAAACATTCAAATTTCAGATGCATATATTGGATTCATTTTATCTATTATAATTTTAGAGTAAATCAATGAAATGTGAAAACACTGCTTTTTCGAACGTTGTAATTTCAATTTTTCAACTTTGAACGCGTATTACAGCAATATGGATAAGAGCACAGGAATGTGTAAACTCTGCATTAGTGTAATACGTCGTAGTATAAGTAACAAAGTATGCCGGTAATCATAATAATTGAGATTATGATTCAAAACTGATTGAATTGAAATCGTATCATTATTAGTCTAATTAATAATTAATTAATTTTTAAGTTTCTAAATAAATGTAATTAACATAATATACTGCAATCTACTGAAATATGTTATTGAAAATAAAATTGAAAACACATTTGCACGTTAAATAGTTAAAGTATTCTCGAAAATATTAACTTTAGAATATAAAAGTTTGAATGTGTAAATGTCTACACACCTATTCACATCTGTTTGTTTCAGAAGTAAAATAGAACGTATGAAAAAATTATACGAAAATATAAAAATTATATAATAACGCTTGTAAACATTTGTATGGTTACCGATACAAAACAGTTATTTGCAGTATAATATATTACTCTCTGCATTCGGATCTAACAGTAAATTTATTATTGTGAATATAATGTTTATTATTAGCTTCAATATTCAATACAAATGTTGCACACAATAAAAGCGCATTAATCACAAACAAAAAAAAATATACATACATCCATACAATTATGTACTTTCTTATTAACTTGTAATGTATCCAGTTAGAATAAAACATATTTGTACATGGATGAAAAGCAGAGAAAGATGAAGTAAACCGAAGAATTTGTTTTAAGAAAATTTTAAGCTCCTATAATGTTTCAGGTCATTGAGATCAAATTACCCAAAATGGGGTAAAAATGATTTTTTTTTGGATAATAAGGAAATTTTTCTAATTTCATCTTTCCAAACTCAGAGAGCGGTTGTCTGACTACTTTTCAGATCTTGATGTACAAACTGTGAATTGAGTTGTAGATCATTTTAAATGTGAAATTACTAATATACCAGAAAAATCTCCAGGTTTGGCAGAGGCAATTCTTGAACTTCCATCCAATACTGTATTCAATTTGAGGCCAAAGCAAATCTTGTCGTCTTTTTGGTTGTCAAAGACTGCAAAGGCTTTCAAAATTGCACATGAAGAGGCGGTAAAAAATTTTCTGCCATTTGCAACAACCTACCTTTGTGAACAAGGCTTTTCCACTCCAATGAACTTAAAAACGAAAAACAGAAATCGATTAAACGCCGAAAACTGTATTCAAATTGCTCTTACATCAAAAAGTCACAATTTTAAAGTAATTATATCAAACATGAAGCAACATCATGTTTCCAAAACCTGAAGGGGAAAAGTTTTCAATTAATTTTTGTTTGTTCCAATTTAAGAATTTTATTTTGTTTGTCTATTACTATTTGTTACTATTTTCATGTAACTTTTTTTTTTATAAATATGTAAATGCAAATTAATTCAATAAATAATGTTTATTTAAAATTTACATTCATAGTTTTCTATTCAGAATGAGGAGGCGGTAATATCGACTTACGCAATAATATTTTGGGGTAATGGTTAAAAAAGTTCCCCGGCCGCTATATTATAGTTGAATATCATTCTGAAAAAAAAGGAAAAAAGTTTACTTACAGCATCACAAGCCATGGGAGCAGGAAGTTGTCGAACAGAGCCACGTCCAAGTGCTTCGCGTTTCCTCTGTGCTGAGAATAACCGTAATTCCTTCCGTTCCTCATCGCTCAAAGCGTGGCAATATCGAACTTCGTTGTCGTGCGGAGGTAACTGCTGAAGAAGTTGTCGTACCCTGTACCTTTCTCCCACGGAATTCACGTAAGGAACCTTCTCCTCCGGCAACGCGGAAAAATATAGATGAACCTGAAACATGAAATGAACCAGCGTCAATGCAAGTGTAGTACGAACGTACAGAACTTGTTGCAACAACTTGGAAGAATCATTTAATAGTTACATACAGCCGTTGCAATAAATTCGGTAAACGCGAAATTAATTTGAGCTTAAAAGGGAATTCGGCGCTGCTCGTAGGGCAGTTGGTAATAATTAAGGTACAATTCGTGGCCCCGAATGGTGCCTGCTGTCCTGCAGGATGGACTAAGCCTGCGGGGCGATTATTAAATTACAGTTTAGCGTTTTCTCATTTCCTCGTTTTCCGTGCGATGATTTACAGGGTGAGTCCGTTTAATTAGGGGACTGGATGAGCATGTGTGAGCGTTGGCGGTGGGGTTCAGGGATAATATCGTATCTAATCCAGGGTTTAGCTACCTTAACGACGCCCTAAATCAGCACAGTATCGTGGACAGTCTTGACCACATGTGCACATGATAAGATAAGGATGATATCCTGCTGCGTGGCATGGACACACAACCCTCTATATCCTTTTATCATTAGCGGCAAGAAGAAATTAATGTTTGTTTCATAAGTCCGCTGCGTGTCTTGTACAAAATATGAGATTATTTGGACACGAACGGTTTATAGATTTAATATTTCAGACTTTCCTGATATTGGGTGTCATTTTTATATATTTCTGTTATGCAAACAATTTTAAAGATTTTCCTGTACCATCTTATAATGCTATGAAAAAATGAATATTACTACTCTATTAATGTAAGAAGTTCTTTACATAAAACTTTTGATGTAATTAAATAAATTTGATAATAATCTGTTACTTGCACCATAGTAAATAAGATAGTTAAACATTAATTAATTATTATTTCTTACTTATCAATTGTATTAATTTTCTAAATATATATACTTTATTTTGATTTGCATAATTTCTAGTAATAAAGAACCTAGTTTTTGTTTGTAAATTCCAATAATAACTATACTTTAGCAGATATTTGGAAAATTGCTCACTGCTACTAATATTCGCGCCTCCCCTTAGACTGTTTGGAAAACGCTGCATTAGTGTAATACGTCGTAGTATAAGTAACAAAGTATGCCGGTAATCATAATAATTGAGATTCAAAACTAATTGAATTGAAATCGTATCATTATTGGTCTAATTAATAATTAATTAATTTGTAAATCTCTAAATAAATGTAATTAACATAATATACTGCAATCTACTGAAATATGTTATTGAAAATAAAATTGAAAACCTTTACACCTTAAATAGTTTTGTAATCATTTATGCTTTCCAATAAATCGAAAATATTAACTTTAGAATATAAAATTGTATTAATTTTCTAAATATATATATTTTATTTTTATTTGCATAATTTCTAGTAATAAAGAACCTAGTTTTTGTTTGTAAATTCCAATAATAACTACACACATTCACATTTAGTGTTTATCATCAATCTTAATCATGTTTAATACTATTTTTTTTTTAGAAATATTTCATTTTCTTATAAGATTTCCATATTTTCAATATTAAACCATCATTGCGACATTAATTAATATTTGCGGAAAATGCAAATGTTATGAAACTTGTTTCCACCATCACCGCATACATGAAACACGTGAATTTAATAAACCTACTTAGTACACGTCAGAAGTGCTTAATAGAATCGAAGAGTTAATAAGAAAAAGTGCAAGAAAAGCCGCGCACAAATGCGACGGAAAACGTCGACAGTTATTTTGAAATATTCGTCATTTGGCCAAATGGGGACTTAGCGTAAGCAATAATTAATAGCGCGGACATGTTATTCTCTGAACCTTATAAGTCTGATCCAAGAAATGTTAGTGATCGTCATCAGGATTTATCACGTCTTGGGAAAAATTCTTGTATCCATTTTTCTTAATTAACGCGAAAAACCCTCGACGCGTTTTCCAATCGCACAACCACATCTGCGATTCGTGACTCATTGCCATGAAGTCATATTTCCTTAAAGAAACAAAAAAAAAACACACACACACACATACAGTACGAATTTCGTAAACATCTGACTCATTAGATTATTACATAGATTACTGCAAGATTCGTTCGAAAACAATAATTTACATAATTGGATGCACTTTATGTTATTATTATATTTATTTTCATTAATTAAATTTAAAACATTTTACTTAATTTAACTCGCTTATTTTGTTCTAATGAAACTTTCTATAAGGATTTCACATTCCTAATTTATATGTAATTAATATTGAAAAAAATCTAAGAAGTTTTTATTAGTGTAGAAAGCAAAGTGATATAAAAGGTTACGCCGATAATTAAATTGAAAATAAAGTTTAATTGATTCTTAAAAAGCAGTTATTAACTTGATGGCGGATGCGCCTGGCACTTTGAAAATAAATTAATACTTTTTGAGTTTTTTTTTATACACATTCTTGGTTATACTTATATAGATTTACTTGATCTTAAGGCTGATTTTATTCGGAAATGTATATGTATCTCATTAATTTGTTGATATATGATATAAATATGGATTTTATAGATTATTACAACTGAAAATATCATTTTTTTTTAATTTTTAATAATATTTTTTTGATAAAAGAAAATTTATTATGTTCATAAATTGCAATTGCGAATATAAAAAAAAAGTCATCGATCATGGACGCAACAAAACGATGTCTTAAGATGATGATGATGATGGTATATGGTTGTGTTTAATGACGGGAATCGCGTCGGAGACTGCGATTGTATTTTTACGCGTATCTCGTGTCATCTCAATAGATCTCAATCTGTGCTGTTGTGGAAGACTGTTGACTCGTCACAAACGGTCGCAAAAACTGGTTCGCAAATGTCTCTCGTACTTGCACTACACACTCACACACGTAACAAACGACCTAGAAGCAGAGATTCAAGATCCGATCTAGAGAATATCTCGAGCACTTCCACGCGTCCCAAATGAATGGAAGATGAAGATATTTAAACGTTAATAACATTTAAAAGAAATAGCGATTAAGTAATTTAAACTTCTTAGTTTCGGTGATCGCTAATAACATTTAAAAGAAATAGCGATTACGTAATTTAAACTTCTTAGTTTCGGTGATGCTATTTGAAATCATTCTTAACACCTATTCAGAATGATTTACTAATATAAGAAAAAGTATACATCAATTCTTCAAATGAACGGAAGATGAAGATATTTAAACGCTAATAACATTTAAAAGAAATAGCGATTACGTAATTTAAACTTCTTAGTTTCGGTGATGCTATTTGAAATCATTCTTAACACCGATTCACAATGATTTGCTAATATAAGAAAAAGTATACATCAATTCTTCAAATGAATACGAAATTAGTTAAAATCGAGAATAAAAAGAAACAACTTTACTATTAAACTTCTTGGATTTGGTGATGCATCAGAGTTACAATTGCAAGGAAAAAACTACAAATAGTTGCTAAAAATGAATAACTCAACAACAAATGTAAATAGAAAATAATGAATTTTTTGTTGTTATATGAATTTGCTTATTTTGTTACTTCGTTGATTTATGTACAGAGCTACAAATATATGCGTTCCGCTCTAAAACAATGAGTTCCTTCGTAATGTAATGGATGTTTGAATATTGCAAGGTGGATAAAGAGGTCATTGGTAGAAGAAGAACGATGCAGCATGGAACAGCGTTTGTATCAAATGTCGAGAGTCAGGGAGGCGTGATAAAAGCTGGATATCGCATTCCCTTTTAAAACGTACAATGCTTGTACAAGTTTTTCCTGTAGGTACTATACTCATACATACATACACCACCGTACACCGTGCGTCGAGTTTCGCTCTTGCATTTACATCCGGCGGATAGAAGATATCCGAGAGCGGACGGAGAAGGACACAAAAGACTCTCCATCCGATACGTTTCGATATAGTTCCATCGAGGAAGGTCCATCTCTTCAAAGAGATGAATTGCATGAAATGTTAAAGAAGGAGAGAGGATAGATCCATGCAAATCTCGAGCGGAGCGACCAAAGAGGAGAAGAGTTAGTTACGAGCGAAAGAGCCTCCGTCATGTCGGACATCGGATACTATCTTGCCTTCGCGTCACGACTTTGCCCTACATCCTAGGCTTTGGTCGCGCGCTCAACTCAAACAAATCCTCCGAAGACACGCCAAAATGGAAATCTTCACCATCGCACACGTTCACTTGTTCCTCTGCGTCTAATGGGACTTCCCTCCTCTTCCTCCTCCTCCATCCATTAAACACTCCACAAATGATTTCCTGAAACTGTGTATGCAGTGAGCACCTCTCGATGCGCTTCCTCCTCCTGGTCTTCAGCCTCGCCTCAAAAGGTGGTAGCCGCTACAGCTAATTAGAAGCCGCTTCTTAATCTCGTCGTGCACACTTATCGAAATGGAATGTTAATGAGCAAAATTGATATGCGAATGTGTCGTCGTTCCGTAACACCTCCATAAATTATCGGATCAACTCCTATCAACACACGCCAATGATCATCGCGTCTACAGTTATTACTGGATCGTGTCGATCGGTAATCAAGACGCAAATAAAATGTCGATTATTAAAAAATCTGTGCCGAGAAAAAAAAAAAATACAATAACGCTAAACATCATTGCTAATTAGGTGGGAAAGTCTTTTCAGATGCGACACGCAACTATTTTCTACTATGTTCGAAGAAGATGCACGTGAGAATTGGTCGTAACGTTCTATTGATTGCATACCATTCGATTTCTTATTTTACACCTTACTATTATGCATAACTTTCTTGTCGTAAATATAGAACTTGAGACTAGGCCAGTAATATTACAAAAGTATATAGCATATATAACAAATGTTATATGTAAATTATTGTCTCGTGATTATTTGCTTATGTAATTTATAAAAATCAAGATGAAAATTTAAAGGTAAATACATATATTTATATGTAGTTAAAAAAAAACTAAACAATTTGCATGAAACAGTTTCAATGGAAAGATATGTTTTAGGGTAGATGACATGACTGAAATTACGGAAGTACGACTTATGAATTGCCCTGCGCTTTGAGACAATTCTTTTGTATGTGAAGAAGATTCGCACACAGTTTTGCATTGTTACTTTTTCCCTTCGTTGCGAGAGATGGAGGATGGAGGAATAAAAGTTGGTGCAATTTACCTGATCGGGTCGGAGTCCGGGTGGTACCCAGGTGTACTCCTCGAGGGCGCATCCGGAATCGTCGTCTGATTGCGAATGCCTCTGTGGATCGTTGGTGGATGGGGAAAAGGGCGAACCCTTTCCAAGGAGACGATCCGCCGCCTCCAGCGACGGCAACTTGACGACGCCTCCGCCGCCCCCAGGAGACGGTAGCGCCGGCGGCGATATTGGACCATCGCCGGCTCCGCTTCCCCCATTAGTTGACATGTCACTGTTGTCTGGCCAAGCGAACGTTCGACAGACTTGCCTGGAAAATAAGAAAAAGATCGTAAAATACTTGCAAAGAAATGCTTTTAAAGATAATGGATAAGCAGTGATGCTTCAAACACTTTATTTTTGAAGATTTATATAAATAACTTAATTATTTCTTTGACAAATTCTTACATAATAAAATAATGTATGGACTTAGTTAATTCATTGACTAGTTCATATGCAATGTTGTTGAAAATGTCAAGATCCAAGAATGTAGAAGACATCAAAGTTATAAAATAATATCTATTCAATAAAATTTTCATTTTATATTGTGTTGTTTTCTCGAAAGTATTATTATTTCAAATAGTATTTCCATGTGGTAAATTGATATAAAACTTATAGACATCAGTAAAAATACTTTGTTTTACTTAAGAAATTATTTGACTATTACTTTAAAATTATTGAAAAATCTTTTGGGTGTACGAAGTATACTTCAACCTCGGGTCCCGTGGGAAAGCGTCGGCGTTTCAATAGACCGAGCTCGATAATAATTATTAATCAGAAATTAATTAGGATAATTACATAGACACACACATACAGCGATTGCTGCGCCATTAACACACAGCCCCCGTTTTTAAAGGCGAATAAATTACTCATAATCCATGTAAATCATATCACGAACACTGCGATAATTACACACGTCGTACACCAAATAGAAAATTAAATAAAAAATTATAAGGAAAGTTATATAAACGGTAGAAGAATGGAAGTGGCTAATTCGATTTCTGGAGGGATGATCTTGGTTTTGTGCAATAATAATAATAATCTCTTGAAGAGGCGTCATGGTGGCGGAGCACCCTTTTAGAAGGCAATTAGACCGGAAGACGGGAGAAGGAAAGCACGATGAGAGCAGCCCAGGTAGCCGAAATTACACGGACCAACTGCTCCACCTTCTCCACCTCATCCTTCTGCTTTTAGCTTTACCTCCTCCTCCTTCTCCTTTCGAATGGGAATCTGGGATCCCATCAACAGAGACAACCGACTTCGTCCGTTAACAAACACGTATCATTAACGTAACGACATTTTAAGGATTCTTGGAAATACTTGGCGAGGAATTTCCGAAGAAATTTGCTATGTCAATTCCGCTAACGTGCAGCATTAATTGATGCACTTACACGTGAACTTTACAAAACTGAGAGAGAGAGAGAGAGAGAGATTGAAAGTGAGAGGAAGATACGCTCTGGAGTCTTCGACAACCGTTTAGTATTGGAGGGTCTATTAATTTTAAGAACTTCAGCAAATAAACCTGTAATTTATTGTCTACTTTTACTTCACAATTGACACATAAAATGAAAATTATATGTTCGAAATTAGCATAAAGACTTTTTTTGAATTTATTAATATGTTTGAATCATAATCAGGCATGCAAATTGGATCATCAAATGTGCAATATTATGTTCTTTGCCAATTGGGTTTAGTAATGTAACAAATTGAACGTTTTTCGTTGTGTCTTCTGGGTTTTGCGGCATCAAGCGAAGTATCTAATGGTCTAATGTTCCATAAAGTAAAGATGTAGCTTATTTTCCTAAAGTTACAATTCAATTATATTTTGAATAATACGTTTAATTACAAATTACAATAATGATTACGATTTATTTAGATGCTAATTATTTATATATTACTTAAATATTTAAAAATACAAGTAAAATAATTGATATTTCATAAGGATAATTGCACGATTATATGTTCGAAATTAGCATAAATATTATAAAGAGTATTTTTTTGAATTTGTTAATATGTTTGAATCATAATCAGGTATGCAAATTGGATGATCAAATGTGCAATATTATGTTTTTTGCCAATTGGGTTTAGTAATGTAACAAATTGAACGTTTTTCGTTGTGTCTTCTGGGTTTTGCGGCATCAAGCGAAGTATCTAATGGTCTAATGTTCAATAAAGTAAAGATGTATCTTATTTTCCTAAAGTTACAATTCAATTATATTTTGAATAATACGTTTAATTACAAATTACAATAATGATTACGATTTATTTAGATGCTAATTATTTATATATTACTTAAATATTTAAAAATACAAGTAAAATAATTGATATTTCATAAGGATAATTGCACGATTATATGTTCGAAATTAGCATAAATATTATAAAGACTTTTTTTTCGAATTTGTTAATATGTTTGAATCATAATCAGGCATGCAAATTGGATGATCAAATGTGCAATACTATGTTCTTTACCAATTGGGTTTAGTAATGTAACAAATTGAACGTTTTTCGTTGTGTCTTCTGGGTTTTGCGGCATCGAGCGAATTATCTAATGGTAAGCAAGAAGAAATGTCCGATGCTCGATGTGAGGTAATTCAATTGATTAGTCGGCGGATAGAGATAATCCTTCGGTTTGGGATAACAAATGCACGGGGAATCGTCATAAAGTTGAGAGAAGAGGATGTTTGAGAAAGGATGCCGCCGCCATCGCCGGAGTCTATCGACGAATCCTGCTCTGCATACGACGATGGAAGGAGATGGAATATTGAAGAATCTGAACTACTGGCATCACATAGAGCGTGTATATATTTGTATGTGTGTGTGTGTGTGTGCTTGAAACGCCGACGTGGAATGTCGATTCAATGCGACTTACATTATTTACTCGCCGCAGTTCGTAAATATTATTACTCTCTCTCAGTACTTTGCTATAGAGCCTATACATACACATACACTCACCCATCCAATCCATACAACCATCCAACCAATACACCGTTTTCCATTTATATGACCGCTGCACAAAGTCGCTCTTTCCACACATACACACACACACACTTATATATATATATATAGATGAATACGAGCCGGTGTTCGCCTCGATGGAAGAAGTGGTTGTTTTGCCTTCTTCATATTTTTTTGTTGTTGCAAAAGGATAGCCTCATTCACTTTTGAAATTTGCGCAAATAGAATGCGACGGAGCGCGCAAAGTCTGATTTACACGTCCATTATCACCATTCGGGCCGTTTTATTTATTTATCGCCTGTTTGTAGCTACACCTCAGCAAAATGCTAAATCGTTGTCCTTTTTGCTACTAAAACAGCGGTCGGTAAATTACCCAAAATGGGGTAAAAATGATTTTTTTTTGTGGTAATAGGGAAATTTTTCTAATTTCATCTTACCAAACTCAGAGAGCGGTTCTCTGACTACTTTTCAGATCTTAATGTACAAACTGTGAATTGGGTTGTAGATCATTTTAAATGTGA